TCTGTCTTTGATGGATTTCCGGTGTGCATTCATTCTGGTGCGCAGTTGTTGTCTGGTCTCTCCTACATATCTTCCATCAGGGCATTTGGTGCATTGGATGAAGTATACTACATTCCTGGAGGTGCAGCTGTAAGATCCTGGGATGCTGATGGCTCTGTTGTGGGGTGTAGTAATAGTGGGGGTGGTGGAGATGTGGGGGCAGGTTTTGCATTTCTTGTCATGGCACGGTCTGGATCCTTTTGGTGTGTTCTGGGCTTGAGGAAGTTTGCTTCTGGTGATGAGGTTGGCGAGGTTCGGTGCTTGTCTGAAGGCTAGGATGGGTGGCTCTGGGAAGATCTTTTTAAGAATAGGGTCTTTTTCTAATATGGGTTGCAATTTTTTGAGGATTTTCCGTACAGGTTCAAGGGATGGGTGATAGGTCATAACCAGCGGTGTGCGATTTGTGGGTGTTTTTCTTCTGTACTGCAGCAGTTCTTCACGTGGTATCCAGGTGGCTCTTTCAAACGTGCGATCTACCTCTCTGGAGGAGTGTCCTTGCTGGGTGAAAGCCTTTTTAAGATTGGTGAGGTGGCAATCCCGGGTGTTCTCTTCAGTACAGATGCGGTGGTATCTGAGGGCTTGGCTGTATATCACTGCTTTTTTGGTGTGTTTCGGGTGATTGCTGGTTCTGTGCAGATATGTATGTTGGTCTGTGGGTTTCTTGTATACTGTGGTCTGTATTTTACCCTTCTGGATACTGATCCTTGTGTCTAAAAAGGGGATGTTGGTGTTGGAGTATTCTAAAGAAAGTCGGATGGAGGGATGGTGACTGTTGAATTTCTGGTGGAACTCAAGTAGAGATTCCAGGTTCTCACTCCAAATGATGAAGATGTCATCGATATATCGTAAGTACAGCAAGGGTTTGATGGTGCAGTTCTTGAGGAAGTCTTCTTCCAGGTGGCTCATAAAAAGGTTGGCATACTGTGGGGCCATTTTAGTGCCCATAGCTGTTCCCATCATCTGGAGGAAGTGTTGATTATTAAAAGTGAAATTGTTGTGTGTGAGGATGAAGTGTATAAGCTCAGTGATATCTTTGGGTCTGTATTCTGGGTTGTAATCTTGTTCCTGTAGATATGTAAGGCAGGCATGGATGCCATCCTGGTGTGGGATGTTGGTGTATAGGCTGGTAACGTCCATGGTGGCTAGGAGTGTGTTCCTGGGAAGGTGGTCTATGTTTTTAAGTTTCCGTAGCAAGTCTGTGGTGTCTTGGACAAAACTTGCTCTGTGGGTGACAAGCGGTTTTAGGATGGATTCAACAAAACCTGATATTTCCTCAGTTAGGGTCCCATGGTTGGATATGATAGGTCTGCCAGGGTTCCCTTGTTTGTGGATTTTAGGGAGCATGTAAAAAGTCCCTGGGTTAGGTAGCGGGGGGATCAAGGTCTGTAGTTTTTCTTGTAATCTTGGTGGAAATGATTTGATGGTATTGTTGAGTTTTTTGGTGAAAAGGGGAGTAGGATCTTCTTGTAGTTCTTTGTAGTAGGTGGTGTCAGAGAGCTGTCTGTTGGCTTCCTTTATGTAATCCTCACGGTTTAGGATGACTATGGCTCCTCCTTTATCTGCTGGTTTTATTACTATTTGGTGGTTAGATCTTAGAGATTCTATGGCCTTTTTCTCTGGTAGAGAGAGGTTGTTATGAGTCAGAGGTCAGAGTATGTAGTGTTTCTTTCAATGTCCTTCAGGGATCTGAATATGTCTGAATGGATCTGGCATACTGTATAGCTTGGCAGTACTGGTAGAAATTTAAGTTTGCAAAGGGTCTGTGCTAAAATATACAGTATGCAGTTTTTATGCCAGTGATGATTATAATATGCATAGTCCTTATTTTCACGTTAGTCATCATTGTGCCTGATCATACTATAATGCATTACTCATATTGAAATAAATACAATAAATGCCCTAAAATTGCCATTTAGCAAATAATTGTGGAGTCAGTGTTCTGAAAGGCATAAGGTTGAAAATCATTTCCACTCTAAGCATTTGTTTTTATAAATGTCTTCTACTTTTCTCTTTTTGGCCTGCAAAATCCAATATATTTTCTCTCAAAGTGACTGGAGGAAGGGGCTGTTAAAGCAAATCATCCAAACACCTTCTGAGCATCAATACTCACATTTTCCCTTTTTCTCTCCTCTGCTTCTTTCAGCCTGCAGCTTCCAAATCCCTTTGACTTTTGTTTAACTTGTATAAATGTGTGTGTTGCACTGTGAAATAGTTTTAATGTAGCTAGTGTAAGTTTGCTTAATGGACATTCTGGAGAATCCTAGCCTTCAGACAAGCACCGAACCTCGCCAACCTAATCACCAGAAGCAAACTTCCTCAACCCCAGAACACACCAAAAGGATCCAGACCGTGCCAGGACAAGAAATGCAAAACCTGCCCCCACATCTCCACCACCCCCACAATTACTACACCCCACAACAGAGCCATCAGCATCCCAGGATCTTACAGCTGCACCTCCAGGAATGTAGTATACCTCATCCAATGCACCAAATGCCCTGATGGAAGATATGTAGGAGAGACCAGACAACAACTGCGCACCGGAATGAATGCACACCGGAAATCCATCAAAGACAGAAACACCCAATTACCGGTGGGGGCACATTTCTCACAGGAGGGCCACTCTCTCTCCAATCTCTCAGTCCTGATCCTCAAGGGAAACTTACACAACACATCCCAGAGACGAGCCTATGAGCTCCATTTCATCAACCTGCTGGATACTAGAGATCAGGGACTAAACATAGACATTGGATTTTTGATACATTATAATCTGCCTGGCAACTGACTCCCCAGCCCAGCCCCTGGCTTCTTTACTTTTCATTCCATCCAGGAAGAGCACACACCAACTGCTGCAGCTTCCTGAGCCTGATGAAGGGTTTTTGAACCCGAAAGCTTGCTCAATAACTATTCTCCAACCATTTGGGTTGGTCTAATAAAAGATATCAAATTCACCCAAGGAACCTTGTCTCCCACAAGTTAATAGATTTATATCAAAATTATATGCTCCCCTGTCTTTAGTAATTCACATGGTTAAGATTTTGTGCCACAGAACTTTTTGAATCACTTCTGTGAGTTAACCAGTGGTAGCTACTGTGTTTTGACAGATTGTGGAGAAATGGATGACATTCCTTGGCTGCTTTTGTCATTTGTCTGCAGTATGTTACACTGCTGTGTAATATTTCTGGGATTTAGTCTCCTGAACATTTAAAGGAAATACTTTGCCCAAGACTTAACTGACTGTTTCAGAGTATAATTAAAGACAAGTGTGCAGGAACTTGATGAGATCCTGCAGTATCAGTTCAGGTGACCCTTTTCTTCCACCCCCAAAGTATATGCTTGTCCACCTTCTGTAGCACAAACAACTCCATCCGCTCCAGAGTTTCACTGCATCAAGATGTTGGAGGAATCTGCAACGCTGGGCTGAGTTGAGGGTAGCTCTTCCCCTGGAAGTTCTCCTCATATCCATCCTGTTCAGTAGAACCTCATGGATTTTACTCCGTATAAACACAGTACTATTTTCTGGTAAATGTTGGCTCAGATTGAGGGCTGTGACATACTTACACCCAGGTGCTTCATCATTACACTGATGTAAACAAGGAATGGACACATGTTGCATATAGTCTTGCAGTGGTGTAACTTAATAGAGTGTAGAGTACACTTAACCTAGGAAATACCTCAGGGTAAACTGCACTGGTGAAAGCTGTTCTGCTGCATGTATCATGTCTGCCTCTACCCTAGAGTAGCTGTTTACTCACAGCTGTTGGAACATTAATGCCTCCTCTTCTTTCTGGTAACTGCACCAAGAAAGCTGATTATCTGTCCAGTTGGGACATATCGGCTTACATTGGTTTGGAAAACTGATGCATGTTTTACCAGTGTTAGCATGCCTTGTGTCCAGGATCAGAAAAGGTGAAACTTTGGTTCTTGTTTTAATTTAATGGCTTTGCAGTTCTTACATCTTTTACACCATGTCCTGGTTCAGAGAGCTTGGTCACGTCACTAGCATTTTCAGTCCAGGGTATTGTAGGGATCCTTAGCTTCCAAGTCATGGAGACCAGCTAATAGTCGTAGTTAGCTTATTTTAATTGAACAGCATAAGAATGAAACTCCAGCTATGAAACTGTATCCGTTTTTAATAATACAAGCAGAAGATATGAAGGATACATAGTAGTGGCAGCCTGCAAATATTAATTCTTTTTTTCTGTTGGATTAAAATCAGAAATATATACAGTAGGGTCACACTGACCTTATTTCATAGAATTCTTAACTGATATTTTGTGTCTTAAGGGATGCTGTCAGCCTGCATACTTAAGTGGAGAAGTTATTAACTCTTAACAAATATACAACAGTTTTCACTTTAGCATATTGTTGGGCCTCTGTATATGTAGTTTCTTCCTTAATGTTGTCTTGAAGTAGCAGTTGAAATGTACCAAAGATTTTGTTGAACATGTTCAAATTCTTTTCAACAGCTTAAGGGTGTTAAAACATACAGAAGGGTTGCTGATTTAAAAAAATAAGCAGAAGTCTGCAATTTGTTCTTTAAACACCTTTGTTTATACAGTGTGATCACAAAACCATACTATATCTTGATATCCAGCTGCAAATTAAGTATATAAAGTGTCACTGCATGAGACAGCTTATAAAGTTTGAGTTACTGCTTAATAAGCTGTGCATATATTTAATGAGATGTTGAGATGCTATGAAATTCATCTTTCCTCTCTTCTGTAGGACACTTGTGTCAAAATACCAGCGCTTCAAAACCAGGGTTCTACCAATTCCAATATTCTGGCACTTAAATTAAGCAACATTAATGTCCTTTTAGCATACATTGTAGATGATAAACCTTGCCAAACATGTTAGTGTGTTTTGTCATTCATTTTATAAGTATTTATTTAAAGGATTTTTTTCACTAGGATGCTTTAATATTTGTATGGGTTGTTGAAATATTTTCTTTTTCTAACCAGTGATGAAGAACGATACAGATATAGAGACTATGCAGAAAGAGGTTATGAGCGTCATAGAACAAGCAGAGAGAAAGAAGAACGACACAGAGAAAGGAGACATAGAGAAAAAGAAGAGACTAGACACAAGTCATCTCGAAGGTTTGCTCTTTAATAGAACATGGAAATAGACTTGACCAATTAAAGTATCATGAAAAGGTGGTAAATGCCTGAACGTACTGCAAATCTACCATATAAAAGAAGGACAGGTGTTGGTTTAAGGTAGCTGCATGTCTGGGCAATGTGTAACATCTTTCTGATATAGAACTAGAATAGTATTTTTACTATAAGGAGCAAAATATAGTGTGTGAAGGGAAACTAATATCCAGCAGCATTGCATAAAAACTTCAAACAAGGGCATGTGTTTAGGGGACTAATGAATGTTCAACGTAACACTCTTTGCGCTGACAATATGGGTTAAGACTATAGCTTTTTCTTTTATGGGGAAGGTAGTAATAAGCAGTATCTTAATTAAGCGGGGTTACAGGAGCAGCAGCCCTGGGCACCTAATGGGGGTAGATGGGGTAAGAAAACAGCAGCCAGCTATGCCACCCACAGTTTGGCAGCTGCCATTGCCCCTTGCCCTGTCGCTACATAAAGCACAGAGCTGCCCAGTTATACCGCTGGTAATAACTTTTAAAACTCTCTATGGCAGGAGTGGCCAACCCACAGCACACATGCCACAAGTGGCATGGGCAGCCTCTGTATGTAGCGCGTGGCAGATACGGAAATGAGTAGGGAATAGAGCAACAGGTAGGGCAGAGAGCAGAGCAACAGATCAGGCAGGGGAAGAGGATCAGACGGTGTGGAGCTCACCTTGTGGCATGCCTTTCTAAAAGGTTTGGCCCCTGTTGCTCTATGCAGTCACAGTAGGAACTTTGAAAGGTAACAAAAACGCATTTTAATTAGAAACATGAGAGAAACATACTCCTTCATAATGCCGAGTTAAGTCTACAGGATAGATTCTTATAAACTACTTAATCAAAAATGGAGTTTGATTAGGACATTGTTCTGTTCTGATGTCCATCTTTTTAAGTGCTGCACGTGAATTCAGAACAACATGTATCAGTTGCCATGGAAGGATGCAAGAGGCAGGTTTTTCGTGCCTTCCATTTGAGGACCATTTTAATAGTGGAGGATCTATCTATGCCACTGCCTGAGCATTTTTCTTCTTAATTTTTTTAGTAACAGCAGGCGTCGTCATGACAGTGAAGAAGGGGACAGCCATAGAAGACATAAACACAAAAAATCCAAAAGAAGCAAAGAAGGCAAAGAAACCGGTAGTGAACCTGCCCCTGAACAAGAAAACACTGAAGCTGCCCCCGCAGAATAGGCATGTGTGATTTTTGCCTACTTGCATATATTAGTGCCAGAAATAGATTACTATAAATCTTGTTATTTTTCTGGGTATTAAAGAAATTTGCTCTTAATCTTGTTCTATTAGTTGAAACATAAGGTTAATTTGTTTTTTGGAAAATAAAAGAATGAATTTTTCATGTTAAGATCCATGGATTGAATTTGTTGTATGTTAAGATACTGTAAGGAAAGGTTTCCTGGGGTCAGAAGGGGGGCATGCTGTGTCAATACCATAATGGAACCTACTTCTCATTTCTCATCTTTCTCTTGTTCTTGAATGCAATGGAGGTTCTGAAAGTTCTCTTTCCCCCCCAAGTTGAGTGGTTTGTATTTGTGATAGTGAGTACCGACACTAGCCAAACAATCTGGAATTGGAGTTGAAGAGTCTCTGAAGTTTAGCCTTTTCAGCTCCTTACATAAACCAGGGATGTTCAACTTCCAGCCCATAGGCCAGATCCAACCCACAGAACTGTCATCCATCCTGCAGGCCTCTCTGCAGGTCCAGAAACTTGGAAGCAGGGGGGAGTGGTGGCAGTATTAATTGCCTCTCCTTTGCTGCCAAATTTTGGACCCATGGGGAGCCCCCCCAGGCCAACTGATGTGAACCTGTGCGCCTGATTGTACTAGAGCGCAGTTGGGCAGGCACGCAGCTGGGCTGGTGCATGGCTGCATCTGGCATGTTGGAGTTGCATCTGCCCCCACTCTTGGACCAAGTTGGACCAACCCCACTCGCCAGGTGTGTATGTAATCCAGCCCATAGACCAACCCCACATCACTTGTCCGGCCTGTGGGTCTGGAAAGTTGGGCACCACTGATGTAAATAAGTCAATCTTTATTGTGCAACAAGAGAAGTCAGAGGCTCTTGAAAAGATGGTTGAGAATGGTTGCTCCGGAAAGTGTTGCAGAATATTTAACATGCAGTAAATATACACATTATTTTTAGTGCAGTTGGAGAGTATGTTTATCACAATCTTGTGTGTGTTTTTATAGTATAGTATGACAACCTATGACAAAATTTTCTGATGTAAGAATGGGGGCAAGCAGATGAACTTAGTAGAAACCAAAAGCATTTATACCGAGCTGTCTGTCTTTGTGAATCCCACTTTCCAAGGATCAGCTGTAAAAATCCCAGGAAAGATTCATGATCTGATCCTTTTTCCTTTTTAGTTTAATGGGAAGGAGGTTCAGACTTCAAATTCTGCTAATTTCCACAGAGGCTAAGAATTGGTTAAACAATGGAAACAAACTAACATCTCATTTGGACTCCTTCCCTCCAGAACAGAGTTGATTGAGATGGGCAGCACAGTCTAGCAACATTTTTACTGCTTCTTCCTATGTGTATAATTAGAAGTCAATCCAGCAACAAAGAGAAACATATACTTATTTTTTAAGTTCATGATTATATCAAGTGGGAAGTCCTAAATAAGGAGCTAGCTATCTTTTTCAAGAATGGGCTGAAACAACCTGGCCCCAGTCTGGCATGGGCTAGGTGGCTTCAGCAGCACATGAGCAGTTGCAGGGGAGGCGTTATCCAGAGCCACATGCTGGGAGCTGCACCACCAACAGCACTTCTCCCAGGTTGTGGGGTGAGTGCAGCTTCCAGCCAGAGGGAAGCTGCATCGGAGAAGTGGATCTGGAAGCTGCTTCCATGCTGCTGCCACTTCTCCCTGCCCTCCCAAGCAGCTCAGCCCTACTGCAGCTCTGCTCAGTCTGGAAGTTGCGCTCACACAGCAGCCTTGGAGGGGGTGGGAGAAGGAAAGGGGTAGGCAGGCACAAGTGGCAGCAGCATGGGAACAGCTTCCAGCTCTGGCATGGCTCTCCGTTAGCTGGAAGCCGTGCCCACACTGCAGCCTCATGGAAGCGGGAGACAGAAGTGGCAGCAGCATGGGAAGATTCCAGCTCCCCAGCCCTGATGCAGCTCCTTGCTTGTCAGCTCCCACAAAGACAGTCCTGCTGCTCTGTGGGCTGGATCCAGTGGCTACAAAGGCCAGATCTAGCACACGAGCCATATATTGCCAGCTCCTGTTCTAGGGGAGCTTCTGTTGAAAAGAAGCTTATGAGAGAATTATTTAGTTTTGGCTTTTGATGAAAACAATGTGTCTGTACAAGCACACAGTTACAGTTGTTTTTAATAATTTTAGAAATAAGGTTTCATTCACAGTATTACATACTAAGAGACAATATTTGAAAGTTGTGAAAATACCAGCTTCATGCTGACAATGTAAAGGTACATTATTTAATCAAAGTGCTTTGTATGTGTTGGGTAAAAACCTTCACCTTATTTAATCATTAAAAAAATATTTCAACTGCTGTCATTTCAAGAGACTGCCAGGAATTTTCCACATAATGTGTTCATAATTTCTTTTATAAATGGAAAGTAGCAGGTGGGCAGGAGTTTCTGCTGCTCACTAAAGATCTTTGATTATTATAATGAATCAAATATAAAAAATACAAACTTAAAAACAGCCTAGGGAAACAGAGCCTTGTGCCCTAATTTATCTTCAGTTCTTTCTAAAGGGTGTTTCTTTGACAGATGCCACTATTTTTGCAAGACTTGCCTTTTCTTGATGTGCAAATTGACAATTCACAATTTTATTTTACAAATATACATTTGATCAAAAAAAGTGCAGAGAAAAAACTTATGTCCATGTTAAGGAGCTTGTTTTCTGTGTCAAATCATTTGTTACCTCTATGGATACATGTTTTATAAAAAAGTTCCAGGCCACGACACGAAAGTAAGAGTAATTTTTCCTTTCAGTTCTTTGAGCATCCTTGCCAAACAGGCGTGCATCATTCCTGATGTACTTCTTCCGTTGACAGCAAGTAGGATATCACCACATCTGGAAAATTAAGGATGGAGATGAGATGTTAGTCGTAACACTCAAGAAGTGTTTATGAGATCAAGATCTTATCAATTAGGCAGCTGCTTTGGCTTATTCTGTATATTTGTTCACCATTTCTTCTCTGCCAAAAGGTTGGTAGTCACTAGGTAGGGCCAAAGAGTGGGCTTGAAATTTCTTCTTCTCTGAAGACAAGTTAGTAAAAGACAACTTCAGTTCCAGCTATAATATTTGCATTTATTCTTTCCTGGCATTCATTCCTTTACAAATCAGACATTTGGAGGGAAATGAAAGATTTGAATGCACCAGTATGACCCACTTTCTCAGACAAAACTTAGTCTGAGAATTTTCAGGTCTTTAATTCTCTTATGTTTTTCTCTCTCTCACAGTTTGTATTATTGTTAAGTTGTAAATGTGGAAAAAGTATTTTTTTTTTTTTTTCAGTTTCAAATTACTATTTACTGGTGAATACTGCACACAATGACACCCATCTCTGAAGCAGTGTATGTACCTCTTGATACACTTGATAATATTCTGCAAACAATGCATATTGTTAAAGCACAGTATTCCAGGTTCTCCTACCATGTCACAAAGAGCCCAATTCTTGTACTCCACTGACTTCAGTGGAAAGCTTTTATTGCACTTACATGACATTGAACCCTCTTTGATTTCAGCAAGTACCTTGGCCTGTTTGAGTTAGTCTCAAGTTTTAACATATCCATGAAAACCTGTAGCCTCTCCAAGTTCCTGGGATAAAATATTTAAATGTCATCTTATAAGTTAGTTGTTGCCATACCTAATCCTTCCATCATTGTATGCTGGTGTTCCCCCAACAATAGATTTGATAAAAAACGGTTTGTTTCCAGTGTGTTCTTCATAACCTCCTACAATACTGAAGCCAAGACTTCCTGCTGTATTTCTCCGCAATACAATTTCTTTGCAGCTGTACAAATACCTGGAAGAAATTATTTTATTAATGCGTGTATCAGTACTGAAGCAAATTTAATTGTTAATGTGCTGTTAAGGATGCCTCTATCTTTTCATACGTTAGCAGTATATTTTGAGTACACCAAAAACATGAGAGCTCCTGAAATGATATTTTTGGTACATTGTTTTTAGTCATACACTGCTGCTTTGGGTCTCTTGATTTCCACGAGTGGTCATTCCAAAACCACAAATATCTGCCTAGTATTTACTTTAAAATGGCAAAACCATATAGAACCTAAAAAAGGGAGGAACATAAAAATTTGTTTTAACTGAAAATCACAAAAAAGGAAAATATTTCAAAGGAGATTGGACTTTATTTAATATTGGTGAATTCTAACTTTAAAAAATCTTGAAGCTGTCTGCAGGAGTCAGTTTCCTTATTTGCCCTCCTCTAGAGAGGAACCTGCATCAAATCAACTGATCTATATGTAATATGTTTTCTTTTAGGATGTGCTTTGAAAAGAAATGAACCATGGAATAAGGGGTAGATATCAACTATAGTACATTTCAGAACCCAGAAGTTTTGGGTGCTTAGTAAGCGACATGGGGAGCTACAGTGAAAAATTGTATGGTGGCGTGTATTGGCCTGGCAGTGAAGTTACAGAGCAATATCAAATGTTGAGAAGACGGCTTGTTTTAGTTAAAAGATTAGTGCAGTGGTTTTTGACCTAAAAAGTGAATAACCTTAATCTCCTCTGTATCCTTTGTCTATGAGTTTGGCCTATTTTATACTACAATCCATTTGTTATATTATCTCTCAATATAATGTACAGCCCAAATATACCAACCTGATGCAGTGCTGAAGGAGATCAGTATGTTCAGTAAGCACTTAAGTTGGGCCATGTGTAGTGCTCAGTGTGGCTAAATCTTCCACTTATTTTAAGGCCAGGTTTTTTGTTAATTTTGCTAAGGGCTGTTATGAAACTAACACCTTTGAAAATACTGCAGTGTTAGAAGCTGTATTTCTGTTGCAGTTCAAAAGAAGAGTGCTGACATCTCTATTAGCTATGCAGCAGTGCTAAATCTGGCCCCAGATATGGATAAAACTTTCCCATCCACTGTAAAAGTGGCAGACAAAGCTGAAAGTCTTGCTATTTTAAATGCGAAATGTGGTTTTGAAACAGGCTGGTTAACTTACTATACACACTCTAAGGCAATTACTCGCATTATGGCTGAGTTCACTGTATCAAAAAGCATTTTTCATTCTCATTGAGAAACAGCTGGCCCTTTTTCTGAAAAAAGGTAATATTAAAACTTTTAAATACAGAGTATGTGCTTTATAAAAAGAGGAGCTTAAGGTATATTTTTCTTGTAAAATAATATGCCTTTGCTGTGTTTCACAGCAGGATTTTACGGTAGTGCTAAATTAGTCCCCTAGGATCTACAAATATTCACCTGCTGCCAGGATGTTAGGTTTAGTATTTGCACAACAGTTCACTGGCTGTTAATGTAAAAAGCAGGTGAAACTTGGTTCTTCCCCCAAAGGCAGGATCTATTACTTTACCATCTGTGGGGGTTTTAGTATGCCGAATCACTTAAGAAAAGAAAAACTCCAAAAACAAAACGAGAAAAACCCTAAGCTCAGGATTTGATGGTACTTACCAAGGTCATGGCCAAATGTTCTCAGGATTTAGCCATTATTAATATTAATACAGTCTTTTTAGTGACTGACAAGTGGAGTCAGGTAAATTCGCTGTATCTGAAAATTATTGTCTGAAGGAGGAAATTTGACGTCCCTGTTAAGGACAATTTTACAGTAAACTTTCCTTTCTTTTCAAAAATGTATAGGTTTTCTTTCACTCTCTGTCCTTACTTACTATAATTATAATTACATTCTGTATAATTTTTACAAGGAACTAAGCTGCACGAGTATGTTCTGTAAGACTACAAAGTTGTCACCATAGGACTATATATTAACTGACAACATGTATATTAAAAGATCTCATATTAGTTTAATATGACTGATCTATTAAGCATCTAATTTTAGCTTTAGTATTAGTAACCCAATTGGGTTTCTATAAATTAGAGACTCAAAGTCCTACAAATCTGGGTTTCAGATGTCAGACTGCTTTGTGTTCTTGCCCATTGCCCATAGACACTAGCAAGAATGAGAATCCGATTCAATTTAGTTTTTATATTGCTATTTTTAGCTCCAGCATCTGTTCCCTTTGGATGGATCAGGTAGGTCCACTTCTCTGTATGCTGCGGATAAGATAACTTTGGCAGTAATTGAACATAACTCTGTGGACCTCACATTAAGCAGCAATACTATGCGCAGGACCTGGGTTTGCAAAGAAATGCATTGGTGAAATCTTCAGAATTTCTTTTTTTCAAAAAATCAGAGCAAAGCACAGGAACAATACTTTCTAGGCTAAAGTATTTTTTTAAGTTTAGTTTACATCCATATGGGACAGCTCATTCTGAATGGGGTTAGGCTAATTTTTGGCTCTAATAAATGTGGGCTCATTAGTCAGGCAACATTTGTTCTAGATCACAGGGAAAGCATGTTAGTGGTTTGGCATCACTGTGCAGTTGATCAGCTGAGAGCAAATGTGCTGCATTTTGAGCATTTGCCATTCAATAGGGGAAAAAAAAATAGGGCCTACTCACTGTAACAGTTTACAACCTTAGGGGGGACACAAGTGTATCCCATGATGATTCAGCAACATTTCTCTGTGTGAAGTTATCATATTCTGAAAACCTGGCTGGGTTTGTGTGGAATCACAAAATGAGGAGTGTTGCAAATTACTTAAGGCAGGAGCTGATTAACTCAGTGGGATGTGTGGTTCTGTGCATCATGTGTCTTTAAATGAGCTCCCTGGGCAAAAGGCTGTCCTTTCCTGAATGTCTGAAAAGTATAGAGCATTGGGATTCCTACCACATATGACTAATGGGTGCCCATTTTGCTATCTGAGCAAATCCCTAGTTGAGATGAAGATAGGGATAGTCTGTGCAACTCAGGAGGCATGGCATGAGAACTGGAGTCTCAGGCACCTGGGAAGACTTCTGCAGGTTAAGCTACATAAACTAGGACACTAATGCTGCCTGGCAGCTGGGTTGTCTCTGCCTCAAAATGTGCTGGGAATACTCAAGGTGGAGGTTTTATTCCTGGCTTTAAGCTTGATATGTTTTGGTTCTTCCTACTTTAGTATCTGCACTTGTTGAGCTGTTCAGATATATCAGTAGTGGAGGCTAAACATTACCAAACTTAGAAATACCTGTGTTGCAGTGTACCTAAATGCACTGTTTAGACCAGTGATTCTTAACCAGGGGGTTACAGGACCATGGGGTACCTTGAGCTCCTTTCAAGGGTATTACACGATAACACAACGTTAGAACTATTAGGTTTACAGACATGATTCACAGGATAAACCCAGAGATTTCAAATTAGAATTGACACAGTTAAAACATGCTGACCTGCTCTGGCCTTTCGGAGTTCTTTGCAACAGAATTGTTCTTTAATTTTTCTGTAGTCAACAAATGAGTGAGAACTAAAAGCCAGCATTTTCCAAAGGCTGCCTTGAGCCCAGGGGATGCATTGAGTCTAAAAGGGTTGAGAGCCACTGGCTTAGATATATCTGTATTTACATATAGTCAGTAGATACAATGCATTTCTTTCATTGCTGTAGCAAAACAGTAGCCATAAAAATGTTACAGCACCATCCACCATCTTTGTTTCTGTAAGAAGTGTGATAAGAATCAGTAAGGCTTGATACATGCACAGAGGTAAGGAAGTAGGTAATGCTGTTATAGTTCTGGTAAGATATTTCCACATGTATGCAATGAAAAGCTTCCTGTATTACATGAAGGCGAAGTGTCCCAAATGGAGTGACTGAGAATAAGACAGCAACTTCCTCCTGGTTTAATTTCTTTCTTCCAAAATGAAAAGGACTGTCATTTTCTTTTGTTGTGGTGCTTTTTAGCTGTTTTCCAAGTGTCAGCCAGAGCTGCTTAGTGCAGGGGAGCAGAATGGGGATCCTTGAGCTGAAAGGGAAAACTTTCACCTGTGCATTATTAACCCAGTTAGACCAGAATGACCTGAAAAGCTGCAGCAGCCCCAGTGGCTGACACTGACAGGCCATGCTGATTGGTTATCCGTACATTAACTCGTAGGTGCGGGTAGCTTTATGCTTATCCAGATTATTTGTATGCAAACACACTAACGTACACCTTGGTGACAAGAAGCCTCTACTGAACCTCCCCCAATTGTGGGGCTTAAGGGTACCAATGCTGCTAGATGAGGGTGGGCAAAATACAACCCATGGGCCACATCTAGCCCAACAAGTGATTTTTCATCCAACCCGTGGACACCACCAATTAATTGTACCCTCCCCAGCCTTCATGCGGGGGAGGTCCCCGGCCCTGGCCAGCACGCCCAGCATCTGTGGGGGAGGGCGCTGCTGCCATTGCTGCACCTGCCAGGGGACCTGTTAAGCTTCCTTGGCCTCCAGCAGCTCCTCATGTCCCTGCTGCAGCACTTGCTCCAGACAGCAGGTAGGTAAACTGCAGCTGAGTGGGAATGGGGTGGGGCTGGTGAGAGCCTGGAGCCCGCACCCATTGGGGCGGCAGGAGTGCAGAGCTCGGGTAGGCAGGGTGTGGGTGTGCGTGGGATTTGTGGGGTATGAGGCTTGTGCAATGTGTGTGGGGTTTGTGAGGTGTAGCAGCAGGCCCTTGGACCCTATGCGGCTTCAGCCAGTTCCAGGAGCTGCACGTGGCTGCAAGGAGTGGAGCCAGGCTGGCCTGTCTCTATTGCGTGGAGGTCACATCAACTCCTAGGACTTGCACGCCACTGAGGGAAGCCCTGCACGATGGAACTGGCTGCCTTCCCTGCTATCTGCCACCACGTGTAGCCCACAAGCACCCTGAGGGCCTGCTGCTGCTGCTGCTACCACCACCAGTGACAGGGGCTGTGTGCAATGAGGGGCGTGTGTGTGTGGGGGGGGTCCCCTCTCGCACCACACAACCCCC